TAAGGATTTACTTTCAGCCTGTCCCACTTGTGCTCGGAACAAGCACAGCAACCAGCCCCCAGCCATCCCTGGTCACACATCGCCTTGGACTTCGTCACTGGTCTCCCCGTCTCTGATGGTAACACAGTTATCTGCAACATTGTCGACCGTTTTTCCAAGTCTGCTCATTTCATTCCTCTACCTTCCCTCTGCTCTTGAGACTGCTCAGATTGTCACTGAGAATGTCTTTCACCTTCACGGCATCCCTTAGGACATCGTCTTCGACTGTGGACCACAATTTGTCTCTCAAGTGTGGAGGGGGTTTTGTCGAGCTTTGGGAGCTACTACCAGCCTCACGTCTGATACCACCCTCAATCCAACGGCCAAACTGAACGTTGCAACAAGGAACTGGAAACAGCTCTGAGGTGCGTAATTGACAGCAACCCCTCATCCTGGAGCCAACATCTGCCTTGGATTGAGTATGCCCATAACTTGCAAAACTCTGCAGCCACTGGAAAATCTCCTTTCAAGGTCGCTATGGGTTTCGTTCCTCCACCGTTCCCCTCACAGGAGCCTGATGTGAGCGTCCCTTCGGTCCACCTTCACATCAAACGCTGCTGTCGGATCTGGCGTCAGACGAGAGCAGCTCTGTCCAGGTCTTCGGAGCAAAACAGATGCTTCGCTGACAGACATCGATCCAAGGCTCCTGTCTACAAGGTCGGTCAAAAGGTATGGCTGTCTACCAAGGACATAACCTTAAAAGACACCCCCAGGAAACTCTCCCCCAGGTTCATGTGGGCCGTTTACTGTGGTTAAGGTGATTAACCGGTCAGCAGTGCGTCTACAACTCCCGCCTGCCATGAAGATGCACCCTACTTTCCACATATCCCACATCAAACCGGTAACCACCAGCCCTCTACACCCTCCGACCAACCTCCCTCCTCCCCCCCGTCTCATAGACAATGAACCGGCCTTCTCGGTCCGTCGCCTTTTGGACGTACAACGTTGTGATTGGGGTGTCCAATACCTGGTGGATTAGGAGGGTTACGGCCTGGAGGAACGATCATGGGTTCCCAGAGCTCAGATCCTGGATCCCGGACTCATCTCGTCCTTTTTTCAAGCTCACCCCGAAAAGAGACTTGGATCGCCAAGAGGCGGTTCTTGAGGGGGGTGGGGGTGGGGGGGGGGGGGTGTCTACTGTGGGATTCCTGGGTTTTTTGCCTGTCACTCACTCTTCCTTCCACAGCCAATGTGTACAGCCAACTAACCTTTGTTACAGCTGGTTCTCACCAACTGTGACTCCTCCAGGACCTTCCACAGCCTGCCTCTTCAGATCCTTCCTAGGATCTCCTCGCTCCACTGGACTCCATCTGTGGATCAACGGTGTCCCTTCAACATTCACCATTAAAGCATTCTCATCTGGGTCAACCTGCTCCTCTCTCCACCGCCAAATACCTCAGGACCTCTCCTCTCCTTCTCAGCCTCCACCTACAACACAAACACTGCGACGACAAGATTCACCTGTAAATAAAGTTCACTTACCTTTTGTAATCCTGACTCTGTCTTTATTGAATCGGTCTGCTCACGTGGGGGTCGACGTTGATAAAACCTGATACTTACATTCTTACAGAGCAGAAAATGGTGTCTGATCAGAAATGAACTCAAAACAACTCGTGTGATGATTCTTCAGGTTGACAGTGTAGATGTGTAGGTAGTAGGTGTGATGTAAATCATTACAAACATCTATAAATAGCTGCGTAGAGTGTGGTATAATTATGGAACAATGGCAGCTTTAGAGTTGCTGCAGGACATCACCCATAGAAGACTTGTGAGGCAGCGTGTTTTCAGTAGAGGATGACATTTTTTTCGGGAGTACCGCGGGTCATGTGATACCGGCCGGATTCCGGCGGGACCAAAGTCAACCTCATTACAACTCACGTGACAGGGACGTGACCGGACTGAAAGCTAACGGGAGCCGACAGGAGCGGGAACCGACCATTAACCGAAAATTAAACAAAAACAAACGGCGCAGCTATTGTGTAGTTTTCTTTCAGTAAGCCTTCACTTTAACACAAGTCAAAAGAACTACATTTCCCAGAAGTCAAAACACCGTAGCTTTTCACCGAGAGGGTGGGAGGAACAGCGAAATCTCCAAAGAAACCGAATGGCTGAAATAATTTGCAACGCAAGGTAAGAAGTAACTGTCTATTAAACTCACAGAATGGGCAGGAAAGTGTCAAATAACCCTGAACTTCATGAGAGTTGTGTTGGTGCTGTGCTGCTTTAAACGTTTAGTCTCAGCTGCAGCTGCGGTGGGAGTTGGACTTTGTTTACCGTCAGTAAATAAACTCAAACAGCGCATTTTTCTCCACCTTGTCCCTTTTAATTTAAAAATTATGCTCTGCTTTGTTATGTGGGGTTTTAGGTTAAAATCTTCATTATCTGTCACTGTTTGTAATGTAAAAAACCAACCAAACTCTACCTGGTTAAAGTGCACGCATTCTCCAGTAAAAATATTCCTATTTTTATATTGTGACGTCCTGCTGGATACTGAAATGGAAGAAAACGTGAATAACCATCACTTTATTGTGTAAATAGTTACTGTCGGCTGTAACCATGCCAGTACAACAACAAAGAGGCGGTGCAGAACTTTGCTGTGCAGAAGCAGCGTGACACATTCAATGTGTGTCGGACGTCTCCCTCGAGTCATTTCCTACAATGAATTACTGTAACTCACTTTGACAATCCTCTTTCTGATTAACCACTTTTATAAACTATCTACAAAGTTGCTGTGTGTCATCATCAATGTAAAATCTGTTTGTATTAAAGATGTGTGAAATCATGTGTGAGAAAGTCACGTCCCAGAGACAGTGTGAGCAATGCAAAGCATGCTGGGTAGGAATTATGTGTGCAGTGTTTTTGACTGTTTACAACATTTCTGAGTAAAAAAGTAATGAAAATGGGTTTTTCATGTTACTGTATTTTTCTGTTCCGCTCTGGTTTGGTTTGGCATTTATTCATTCAACCGTTATTTACACAGGTTAGTCTCATTGAGCCTTGGTGTCTCTGTTATTGTCTGCAAACTGACACCATGACTGTTTGCGGTAGATATGAGGAGGAAAAGCACCATGAGTGGTGATGTCACTGGGTGGAGCATAGCATAGCATCGCTCTGTGTAACTCCTAATTTTCCTGTACACTTTTAGTGTAGAGAACTGTCTTTAAAAAATTAGCGGACTTGAATTCACAGTATTTAAATTTAGCAAAAGCCAATTCTGCTAAAGGTTTTCAAAGTTAGCAAAAATGCTAATACACTAAATGGAAAGTTAGTTCCGCTGTTAGCGGATTGAGGGAACCATGCCCACCACTGGAAACCAGGTGTGTCAGTTCAGGTTCTCACCCCTCCTGGGGCTCCTTCCAACCGGAGCCTTCCAGAGTAAGCTGACAGGTCGGATATTTCACAGCCATGCCTGAGCCATGCTAGCTGCATGGAATGACCTCATTTATATGTATTAAATTATTCTATGCCATGCCTGAAAAACTCTGTCAATGCACCACAACCATTTCTTGACATCAACTATAATTTTAGAACTCTTTTTAAAATTTCAGGCAAGAACTGGAATTTAGAATGTGCTGCATTAACAGCATTTACCACCTTCAGCCAATCATCCCCCCCACCCCCTTTTTTATTTTTACTAACCCTAAGGGAACAACTGCCAAATAAAGTTTTACCATTTGCCTCCATCTCTGACCCTAGTACATGTATTTAACATTCAGTAAAAGTTTTTTGAATTTGAATCAGTTATTTGGACACAGGACAGAGGCCTGCAGTGCATTTATACAAATTTTAGTTTTTATTTAAGAGAGGTCCAAATGACACCTGCAGCAGAGTTATAATCCACATAAATTAGGATGTATGAAGGAAAGATGCCAAGAGTTTCATAAATACTGTTATTTATATGCAAATGCACATTCAAAATGTTGTCTTAAGCTAACTTTTAGGATAAAAGCTGTGCACTTTTTCATACAAGAGGCCCCTGATGACTTTATTATGTCCTGTTTCATAAAAGACCTGAAGAAAACTTCATTTTGCTGGCTGTAATTACAAAATTACAGTCAAGAAATTAAAGAAAATCACATGTTTAATATTCATAATCATCACCAGAATAATATATCAATGCAGCATCCCTGTCATTCTTTTTATAACCCATTTTATTTAAGTCTCAGAACATTAAAGTCTAATTGAAGAATAGAAAAAGAGAATAGGAAGTGGTTCAATCTTTCAAATAAAAAGGACGACACAGGTGCAAAAACAGCTGACACCAATACCCGAGGCTGCTCAGAACTGAACATTTATCAGAAGTAATTGAACACATAACCAAACAACAGCATTCAAAACTCAACTGGTTCTAGTATTTTTCCAGATGTGGAGAATAGAAAACAAATCCGAGGATTAACACATTCAAACAAGTTTTACCAACATTTCTCCAAAGGCTGTTACCACATTTAGTTCACATGAATGAACCAGGAGCTGTCACACTTACCTTAATGCAAAACAACAGGATTCTTAAAAAAAAAAAAAGCAATGGCCTCGTCTCCCTATTGGATTGCAGTTCTATTTAAGACAAGCACTTGTGAAGTTGACAACACTGTTTTCCAAAACAAATCGAATCTTAAGTTCTGGGCTCTGGACCACAGAGATCACAGGTCCGTTCTGCTTTAGACTATTGATGAAACTTCAACAATCTCTTCTAAAGCCTGAAGATTTTTCAGGTTTACTTAAAAGCAGACAAATGCCACAAACATGAGTCCCATTAGGAAAATTATGTGTAAACACTATAAAGTGGAAAAGTTCTGGCTGGCACAGCATTTACGAACACAAAAAAACATGTCCCTAAGTTAATGTCTCCTCCAAAGTTATAGAGTAACCAAATAGGACCAGCACCCATTGTTCCCACTTTGAGCACATTTACAGTTTTCTGTAGAGATAGTTGCCAAGATAACGGAGCATGTTTCACCTACCTAATCCACTTTGTTTCATCTCAGGAGACTGACGTGGGCAGAATGAAAACAGACGATAACTTCCACCTTTGGAAGCAGACGTTTCTGACAGAACCTGATGGACAAACAGGAATCACAAGAGCAAGGTTACCACATGAGTTACCACAATAAAAGTACACGTCTCCAGGAAATGCTGCTGGTTTTAAACGGAGGAAAGCACAGAAAAGAAACTCAGTCTACAAAACAGACTGGTTGTACTCTAAAAGCAAGCAGAAATTTACGAATTTCAGTGTTAACACTTGGCTAGATAATTAAAAGAAGCACTAAAATATAATTGTGTTTCTCACCTCCATCGATCCAGTTTTATGATTGCGAATAAGAGGTGACCTCCTTTGAATGGTGATTGGCTCAGAAACTGGAACGGCACGATCAGTTTCATCTCGTGAGAGGTCCTCCAAGCTGGCAAGGTCAGACTTTTTTTGCCCGTTCTGTGCAAGATGAGAGAAGAAACTGAAGTCACAGGAAGTTTTTAGAGGACAAAATGGTTTTAGGGACAAATGTCTGGATGAGATTTTACTTGTCGTAACACCTCCGCTGAGGCAGGCCGGAAGCCAAATCCAGTGGGGGCATTCTCCTCCTCTTCAACATTTTTCACACCTGGACTGAAGTGGAGCTCTACATGGAAACGTTCCTCAGAGGAGATGTCCTGAAAACAAAGACAGACATAGACTTTGAGTGATGTTCTTTCGGCTGGTCCCTTCTGCAGGGGTTGCACAGTGAGTGAACTCGTATGAAAGATTTTGAAATTGTTTGTCACTGGAAAGGCAGCTTCAGGATTACCAGGCTGCGGCACTTAACCACTGAGCTACTAATCTACATGAAGAAGAAGAAGAAGAAAGCACTATGTGCGGTCATCATTGTAAGTTTTTATACAATGACAAAATGTGTGCTCTGCATTTAACCCATCACACCTGAGATACACCCAGGTGGGGCAGTGGACAGATATGTAGCAGGGCGCTCATCTCTTCTGTGAATTTTGTCGGGGGGGGGGGGGGGGGGGGGTGTCTGTGTTGCATGCTGTTTGTTGTAACGAGAGTTTTCGAGGTCGGATGGGAGTTGAAACGGCTCAGCGTGAGGAAAACAGAGCGCTACCACTGTAGCTTTTTAGCTACCACATTTGTATTGCGTACCACTAGCTTAGCGCTACGTCTGTGTTGGCGGTTGTCGAGGGGGAGGGGTTCGGTCTGGTAGGCAGCATGCTCAGTTCTTCTGACAGGGCAGGGTGCCCTGCTTGTATAATGGTAGGGGAAACATTGCGGTGTCTCACTCAAGGACACCATGACATGTGGGTGTCACGGGGAACTGAACCTGCAACTTTCTGGTCACAAGTCGGCTGCCCTAACTCGACATCATCTCAGCCCCCCATATTGATGAGATATAAAATTTTTTCATTAATTCATTCAACCTTCATTTAGACAATATTCCAAGAATCAGTTGCATTTTAAGGCATTTTACTTTAAGGGGGAGGAAAATATATTTATTATATTAAAACACATCTTCATAGAAGGTCACAAAACTTGAGAGCCTGTCTGAATTAAATGAATAAAAACAGCAATTTAAAATAGAAACGGAAGAATGCTATACAATTTAATAACTGTAATTAGCCCTAAGACCTTATGGGGGAAAAAATCAGCCATATTTATTTTTGTCCATGTTTTAATTTATTTATTTATTTTGGTGCAGCCAACAAACACATTTAGTCTGACAAAGCTTAAAAATCTTTCTAATTTTTTGCCAGATTTTTTTTTAAATTGCTCATAATCTCACAGTAACTTTTTACACTCTTGTGTTCCTCAGGAGAAACATTGACCATAGGGAATATGAGCTAATGTGCCAATTTATAAACGAGTCTTTTGCCAATAACTCAGTAAATCTGGTTACGTACAGATGTTCCCAGCTTTTCACCTGCCTTGAACGCAGCATTACATTTGTGAATTGACCTTTTTTACTGGTACCAATGTGAATGCATAAAATCACACCTCTACAAAAGTGCCAAGCCATTTCCGGTCTGCATTCATTTACATTGTTTTGGTCTTTTACATCTGCTTTTTTGTTGTGTGTTTTATATAAACATATTTGTAAATTAGTTTAATTGATATTCTACAATGTGAGTGTGATGTGTAATATTCCCGGGTGTGTTTGCAGAGCAGCAGAAACAAAGTTAGATGTGAACACTGTTTAGATGAAGCGTATTTCAGCTAACCGGAAGTAGACATGACGCATCTAGTCCACAATACATTGCAAAACACTGACTTTGACCATGTGTATTAGTAACTGTGAAAAAGTAATTCTGGAGTGGTTAGAAAGTCTCAAAAGTCACTTTCAGGGTTAAACTGATCTGTGTGCTCGTGTTGACAGATTCATCGACAGCAGGTGATTTGTGCACGTGTATTTGATCATTTGTATGTGCAAAATATTCCTACTTGTACAAATTGACACGTGTACATTTAAAACATCATTTATGCATTTGTCAGTTTAGTGGTTTGCTTAAAAATCTTATTCTACATACACAAATCTTGTACGATTCTATGACTTTTCTTCTTCTTGCAGCTGCTCCCTTCTTCAGAGGTCGACAGTGAACTAACTCACACAAAGTCTAGGTGATTATTTTCACACCGGATGTCCTTCCTGACACAACCAGACCACCGAGCTACCACAACCCTCCGTGTGGAGCAGGGAGCTGACATCTAGGGCACCTGGGGGAACAGGTGATGAGGGTTGAAAGCCTTGCTCAAGGGTCCAGAGTGGGGCAAATGAGGGTGGAGGCAGGTGTGGGTGCTTCAGCATTTTCCACCCACATTTTAATGTTGCCGGTCCAGGGAGTCGAACCGGCCATCTTCCAATCACAGGCCCACCTTCTCTAACATCTACGTCACCACTTCCCATCGATTCTGTGACTAATTATGAGACTAATTAATCTTCATAGATTTTCGACTGCCAGATCTGAAGGGTTCTGTTGGCTGGAGGGTCTTCACAAAACTCTGGACTGGATTTTTTTTAATACTGTGAAAAAATCTATTAGGATGTACTACCAGTAATGGGGGAAAGCCTTTTTATTTTATTTCTTATTTTTTCCCCCAAAACTTGCCTTAAACTAAAAATTTTGTCTAATATAAAATAAAATTAAACAGAAAAGTGGATTTTCTTTTTTAAAACAAAAAACCCTTAAAGAGTTCAAATAAAAAGTCATTTAAATTTGATATTTTTATTTAAGGTTGAGATAGCTCTAAAAGATTGACTAGTTTAATTTTTTTGGGAAAAAAAGTAATAATGCAGTGAAATAAGGTGGTCAATTTTTACCTTAAGGAACACTAACTGTCAAAGTTAAACTGACTACCAGGGTTAAAAAACTTTAAACATGATATTTAACCATGTTCAGTCAGGTCATCTGGACGGTTTCTTTTTTAAGCCGAGATGTTTCATCCTTCATCCAAACGACTTCCTCCATTTGAGAAGCCACCAAACAAAACCAATTCCCACAACAAGAGCATGCTCAATAGTGGAAAGAAACGTTTGCTGGTGCTAAGATGGCCTCCAGGACATCCAAAGAAGTCCTTTAGATGAAAGATGAAACGTCTCTGCTTAAAAAAGAAACTGTCCAGATGACCTGACTGAACACTGTTGGATTTTATACCTGGATTATTGCGCATGAACTTTGGTATTAAACATGCTGAATAATGTAAAACATAAACCAAGAACTCACCTTATTATTGTCCTCATAGAGCATGATGACGATTTGCGTCATGTAGTTGAGCTCTGACACCGCACTGAGGTAATCCATGGCTCGTTTCCACTGCTGGTCTTTCTCTTCCTGTTGCCAACAGAACCAAACAGAAACGAGTCTTTCATCTATAAACCTCGTCAAACTTGCAAAGCCGTGCAGGAATACTGTGTGCTCACATCAAGAAGTCCTCCATATCTGAAAATGCTGAGAAGGGAGTGGACGTGACTCTCACTGGTGAAATAAAGCCGAGTCCTGACATGACGGCCTGGTGACAGGACACCGCGAGAGTACCTGCAACAAGATAACACAAAACTTCTCACCCAAAACTAATCCTCGAGTCCACAACTAAACTGACTGGTGGTTATGTGACTTTCATATTCAATGTGAAGAATTACTACAACCGTCAACACCATATTATGTTTATACCAGCATCTGGTAGTGACACACAATGTTGTTTCCTAAAGATGCTTTTCCAGTTGGGGTGCTTATTTTCAACACAACATGTACTGCTCACCTAAAGAACCAAAACAACAAGCAGTCCATCGATGTCCCCCATCGTTGAAGGATTTACGATCAATAGTGAATGTTTGTAGTTTTTGAGACAAGTGTTTTTCTGGACTGAAATTTAATTAGAAACCAAAGTAAACCTTAATGTTTCTGGTGCGAGATATTCAAGTGGGTAGGAGTTACACTGTGGAGAAGAACAGAGGGAGGTGTTGGTTTGTTCCGAAGCAGCACAGAGTGACAGATCCTGGCAAGTGGAGGGAACAATTTCATCAATGACCAGATGCAATATCAAAGACAGGCTGGTGGCCTTGACCTCCACAGAACGAATGAACGAACACACGCACTCACCCTAAACCCAACTACTAACCCACCAACGGCACTTCTTCTTATGGGGCCTGGGCTTTGGGCCCCATAAGGAGCTGTTGGTCCTCACAATGTAGTTGGAAAAACAGGCCTTACAGGGTAACAAATACAAAGACACATATACACATACGTGTGCGCTTGCGTGCAGTGGCCATCTTGGATTTTAATGTGGCAACCCAATTTCTAAAGGAACATTTCTTGCTCAGAGATGTAGCCACACACCAAAATGGAAGTTAGTACCTCACTTGTTTTTTCAAGTTATTGCTCTCATAACATGCACGTATCGACGGACTGGCGGAGGGTATTTCCAGTTTCCCCTTTTGGCTTTGGGACAGGAGGCAATAACAGATATTGTATATGTAAATAAATGGAGGCTTTACGCTAATTACATTTCCACATCAAGCTGTCAAGTTCACCATCTGTAGCTTCCATCTAAATGTGCTTGTGAGAATAAGTCATATACTCAATAAAATTTCTCTCTTGCACTCACAGAGGATGCAGTTTGTTGACAAACTCGTCCACGTGGGTTCTCTGCAGGTCAAGCTGTATCTTTCTGACCAGTGGAAGACAGTACGCATATGCAATGTCCAGTTTCTCTGCTTTGTTTATGCCATATTCCTGCAAAAGAGCAAACAAGTACACAACTTCTGATGTGACTGAGGAGTTTTTGTTACAATTAACTTTCATATCTACGAGTGAACTGGTAAATTACTGCCTTAATATTCTGATATTCACAAATCAATTCAAGAAAATTTGTTATAAATAATCAACCAAATTCTAAACAAATTATTTTAAAAAGTTTAGAAAGATACAAAAACGTAAAACCACAAAAAGCTAAAGAGACATGGTATTTTGCAGAAATCCAGGCTCTTCCAGCTTTTAATAACTGAACAAATTTATTTTTGTACCTTTTAAAGAAAAATACAACTTTGTGCTTAATGAGGCAAAGCAGGTATGAACAAATGAATATGAGATAAATATGGAAAAGAAATCAGGTCAGATCAATCTGAAAAAGGTAAATATGAAAGAACTCCTGAAAAAAATATGGAATCACCATTACTGGAGATGTCCTATCAATTGTTTAATTTTGTATAAAATAAATCCCAAACATGCCAAATAGCTAGTATTTTTCTCAATTCCAACCTTTTGGCATTACGAAACAATACATGAAGAAATAAAAACAATTGGCAGTCACAGTTGTTTGTTTTTTTAGATCAAGTAGAGAAAATTATGGAGTCACTTAGTGGTTTGTTTGTAGTTTTAAAACAAACACCGGCATCAGATTAAACCTCCTGATTAGTCTTTAGTAGAGCCCGACCGATATATCGGTAGGGCCGATATTTTTAGGCCGATATAGATGCTTAGGGACCTATCATGTTAGTGATAATGGTCCCATTATTTGCCGATATAAACACTTCTAATTTTCACCAACTTTCACCCTGAAAATATTGGAAAGCAGCTGTAATTGTACAATGTATCCAGCAGAGGGCGGATGAAGACTACTTTTAAGTCATTGCTGTTCACTTAAGTTTCACTTTTGCATTCAGCACAGACTAAGCAGGGAGCGATACAGAGCAAGGTAAGTGTATTAACTGATTTGTAAAATTTTATAAAATCAACAATAAAGTCTCTTCAATCCTCCAACCTGTTTGTGATTGGTACGTGCCTATCAAGCTAACATTAGTGTTCAGGTGCACCACCTTCACAACATTAGCCCCGTTGTCTATAGTTATAGCAATCAATTCTGTCGGACAGAGCTTCCAGTTTGTGAGGACATCCATTGTTAGTAACATTGTCTTTGTTGTCTTCAATGAAATGCATAATTTGTCTGAAATCTTTACTTCTCTACAAAGAAAAATAAACGCCGCTGCAGTCAATACTAATTAGACCTTCACCATGCATAACTGACTGTTTAAATAATGAACAGGGAAGGGTGATTCTTTGTTTGATTTATATTTTTGTAACACACTTGATAACTTTATGGTGAATAGTGGAGGAAAGAAAATGTGAACGCACGTTTGGAAGACTGATTTTATGATCAGTGCGCCACTTGTAAACGTACTGTGGGACTATGGGTACATATAGGTAGATCTGATTTACTTACTTGCATGGTTGCTAACAGCTGCGCTAAATAAACAAGCTCTGCTCCACTCGTTGTTTACTTAGATTCTTGTGGGTGGGCAAAGCAACAAAAAAAAAAAAATCAGCCATTATATTGGCTAGCGGTGGTCGTGTTCCCCTCCCAATATCAGTATTGGCGATAGAAAAAAAATTCCATACGGTCGGGCTCTAGTCTTTAGTTATAAAGGGCTCCCACCGCAGTGAGCTCTTGTATAAAGCAAAATGACATGAATCATGGCTCAACACCAGAGATATCAGAGGAATGGATGATGAAACGTCTTTAAAAAGATAAATAATCACAGAACATTGTTAAAGATGAAGATATTGGTTGTTCTCCGTTAGCTGAGTATAAAATCTGGACTGAGTTCAAACAAAATAAGAAGCATGTAAAAGGGAAGCCTGCCAGTCGACCAAGGAAGGCAATGAAATGTCAGAAAAAAAGATTATAGCAACATATTTGAAAACAAAAAAAAAGGAGAAAAAAAAGAAACGAAAGGGCAGAAACTAGCAGATGTCTGCCACATTTAGGTGACAGTGGACTGAAGAGTCATGGACTGTGGTGACTGGATGAAAGGGACATGTCACATAAAGACACGAGAGAGGTGGAAGACAACACCTATTCCAGTGTTTCCCTTACCATTATCCAAGAAGGGTGCCCCGCCCTGTCAACAGAAGTGAGCGCCCTGCCTACAAAATCCCCCACCCCCTGTGGTCGACAGTTCTGCTACTTGCGGACAGGGAGCGGAATAAGCAACAGGATAAGAAGTTCGAACCTAGCATTAGTACCGTACCATGTACTATAACAATGTATTCAATAAAACACAAACGTGTACACTGAAACTTTGGAGGCTGCACGGTGGCTCTGTTGGTAGAGATGTTGCCTCTCAGCGAGAAGGTTGCTGGTTCAAATCCCGGCCAGGGGACTTTCTGGGTGAAGTCTGCATATTCTCCCCGTGCATGCGTGGGTTTTCTCCGGTTACTTAGGTTTCCTCCCACAGACCAAAAACAGGAGGTGCAACAAAGTACTGATGGAGTCGTGGTTTTCTTACGGTTCCATAGTTTTTCTTCTATTTGATCGAAATATCAACTGTGGTTGACTACAACAATTATATTTACTTCTAGTTTTTATCATTTATTAAAGAAAGTTGAATTTTGAAAAACAATAGATGTATGGCATGGGATTTGTTTTATACGAATATATATTATTTTGTACCTGGATGATTGAGCGTGAACTTTAAATATCCTTCAACAGTGGCAATTCCATAATTTTTGCTAGGGGTTGAAAAAGCAAAAAACACAAACAATATCAATAAAAATGAGTACTATGCCTTTTTTTTCTCTTCTCACCTGTGGGATGACAATATCAGCCAAAGCTCGAGACAGTCTGAACAGCTCTTCTGTGTCCTGAAGGCCCAGTGAGGCGTTGTGTATAACATCGTACTTCACGCAGTCGTAGATGTCAGGAATCTTACTGATGTCGTAGCGACCAGTCTTCATACGGAAGTCTTTCTCCAGTTTGGACCAGCGCTGCAGCATCAGCTCCAGGGACTCACTGTGGTACAGCTGCAGGTCTGATGAGGCAGAAAATTGATTTTACATTTATTTAAAAATGAATTCACGTTAAAAAAGAAACTTCTGTGCAGCATTAAGGTACGATAATTAAAGATTTGGTGAAAAGTTTGAAAAATGTTGACATTTAAGACAAAGTACTGTCAGTCTAAAAAGAAATAAAAATCCACTTAACCCTGATTTGATTTTTGGGAGGTATTTGAAGAATAGAAACAGAATAGCGGGGGGAGATACTGCAAGATTTGGTTTGACCCGATACAACGTAAGTAAGGGCCAGTATTGCTGAGACCAATAATGATATGAATACTGATACTTTTTAATAATTAAAGTGGATGTTTCATTTTGCTAAATCTGAACAAAATGTTACATCCTTCAGGGTTTTTTTTTTCCAGCACAGACTCTGGACAAAGTTTATGGGTAAGTAGACAATACTTTAATGCTTGCTGTTGTACCATTTTGCAACAAAATGGCACTCCTCTTCCCATTTGTCAGTTCTTGCTGCAGCAGGGCCTGAATAACCCAGATCTCTAGTCACATGGTGGTACAGCATCAAAGAACAAGAGAGGGAGGAGGAGCAGAGCGTGGCTGCTCCCCTGCACGCTGTGACAAGAGAAGCACTTGGAAGCAGCAGGACAGACACAGGCAACCATGCAAAACCACAGCAACCCATACAGAAAAACTGAAACTAAGATACTGATACAATTAAACAGATCTCTTCTAAATCAATCCTGACAGCAGTATTGATAATTGGATTGATCCACCCACTACTATGGAAGAGTGAAAGGGGCTTTTCTTACCAGCAGATTTGGGGTCTTCCATTCTTTTGCGGATCTGTGAGGTTAGGCTTTGAATGAGGGTGTAGACCTGGTCACAGGTGGCCACTGGGTTCTGGACTATTTTCATTGAACTTACTAAAGAGACGCTAGAGGTCGGCGCCAGCTGTCAAACACAAGCACAGTTAGATGAAAACAACAACAACAAAACTTTCACATAACAAAAACAGTAAAAGTTGGTTTATTTAGATTTTTATTTATTTATTTTTTTACTTTGAACAGTGAAAAAAATAATACACAATTGGCTGATTGTTTTCTCTAAAAACACAACTGATTGTCTTTAGTAGTTTTGTAATTCTGTTAAGATGTGATCACGACCAATGAATGGAAATTCATTGGTTGGTTTCTTGAATGGAAATGCTATTCTTGCAATCTTTCAGTCTGGCTTTAATAAACTACACAGCACCGTAACAGCTAGTTAGGGTCTGCAACGACATTCTTCTGACAAATGTCTGTAGTCCTTGACCTTACCGCTGCATTTGAAACTGTGGACAACAGTATCCTTTTATCCTGGCTAGAATACTGGGTTGGGATTACTGGTGCAGCGTTAAAATGGTTCTGTTCATACCTGAGCGACAGGAGTTTCTGTGTTAATTTTGCTAACAATCAATCTCCTTCAGTGCCTCTTTCCTGCGGGGTCCCGCAAGGCTCCATTCTTGGACCCCTTCTGTTTTCATTGTATCCCCTCCCCTTAGGGTCTATCCTGAGGAAACATGGTCTTTCCTTTCATTGTTATGCTGATGATTCTCAGATTTATCTGCCATTAACACCTAACAGTTCCTCCTCCATTCGCCCTTTGCTAAAATGTCTTGATGAAATCAAGACTTGGATGACTGCGAACTTCTTGAGTTTTAATGATCAGAAGACTGAGGTCATTGTGTTTAACCCTAGCTCTGCCACTGTCACTGATACTGCAAACCTGGACTCCCTTCAGCCATATCTAAAACAGTCTGTTATCAGTCTCGGGATAGTTTTTGACTCGGACTTTAAGCTTAATATGCAGATACAGGTCCTTCTCAAAAAATTAGCATATTGTGATAAAGGTCATTATTTTCCATAATGTAATGATAAAAATGAAACTTTCATATATTTCAGATTCATTGCACACCAACTGAAATATTTCAGATCTTTAATTGTTTTAATACTGATGATTATGGCATACAGCTCATGAAAACCCAAAATGCCTGTCCCAAAAAATTAGCATATCATGAAAAGGTTCTCTAAACAAGCTATTAACCTAACCATCTGAATTAATGACGTAACTCTAAACACCTGCAAAAGATTCCTGAGGCTTTTAAAAACTCCCAGCCTTGTTCATTACTCAAAACCGCAATCATGGGTAAGACTGCCGACCTGACTGCTGTTCAGAAAGCCATCATTGACACCCTCAAGCAAGAGGGTAAGACACAGAAAGAAATTGCTGAACAAATAGGCTGTTCCCAGAGTGCTATATCAAGGCACCTCAGTGGGAAGTCTGTGGGAAGGGAAAAGTGTGGCAGAAAACGCTGCACAACGAGAAGAGGTGACCGGACCCTGAGGAGGATTGTGGAGAAGGGCCGATTCCAGAGCCACCGTGCACAGGCGTGTGCAGGAAATGGGCTACAGGTGCCACATTCCCAGGTCAAGCCACTTTTGAACCAGAAACAGCGGCAGAACCGCCTGACCTGGGCTACAGAGAAGCAGCACTGGACTGTTGCTTAGTGGTCCAAAGTACTTTTTTCGGATGAAAGCAAATTTTGCATGTCATTCGGAAATCAAGGTGCCAGAGTCTGGAGGAAGACTGGGGAGAAGGAAATGCCAAAATGCCAGATGTCCAGTGTGAAGCACCCACAGTCAGTGATGGTCTGGGGTGCCATGTCAGCTGCTGGTGTTGATCCATTGTGTTTTATCAAGGGCAGGGTCAATGCAGCTAGCTATCAGGAGATTTTGGAGCACTTCATGCTTCCATCTGCTGAAAAGCTTTATGGAGATGAAGATTTCATTTTTCAGCACAACCTGGCACCTGCCCACAGTGCCAAAACCACTGGTAAATGGTTTACTGACCATGGTATTACTGTGCTCAATTGGCCTGCCAACTCTACTGACCTGAACCCCATAGAGAACCTGTGGGATATTGTGAAGAGAAAGTTGAGAGATGCAAAACCCAACACTCTGGATGAGCTTAAGGCTGCTATCGAACCATCCTGGACCTCCATAACACCTCAGCAGTGCCACAGGCTGATTGCCTCCATGCCACGCCGCATTGAAGCAGTCATTCATGCAAAAGAATTCCCGACCAAGTATTGAGTGCATAACTGAACATGCTTATTTGAAGGATGGCGTTTTTTGTATTTAAAACACTTGACTTTCATTGGTGGGATGAAATATGCTAATTTTTTGGGACAGGCATTTTGGGTTTTCATGAGCTGTATGCCATAATCATCAGTATTAAAACAATTAAAGACCTGAAATATTTCAGTTGGTGTGCAATGAATCTGAAATATATGAAAGTTTCATTTTTATCATTACATTATGGAAAATAATTACCTTTATCACAATATGCTAATTTTTTGAGAAGGACCTGTATACTCTGTTCTTCAAAAAAACTTCTTTCAGCTAAGGCAAATAGCTAAGCTCAAGTCCGTGCTGTCCAGATCTGACCTTGAAAAGTTAGTCCAGTTAGTTAGTAAGTTAGTACTGTAACTCGTTTTATGCTGGGGTCAGTCAGGGTTCCCTCTCACGTCTCCAGCTTATCCAAAATGCTGCAGCTTGTCTATTAACAGGAACTTGCAGGTATGAGCACATTATTCCAGTTCCGTCCTCTCTTCACTGGTTTCCTGTGCATGTCAGAGTTGATTTTAAGATTCTTCTGCTGACATTTAAGTGTGTTAATGGCCTTGCACCGTCATACCTTTCCGACCTTCTTCATCCTAATGCTCCTTCTCGGGCCTTGAGATAATCAGACCAGCTGCTTCTGGCCGTACCAAAAACCAGGCTGAAGCTCAGAGGAGATCGGACCTTTTCAGTCATGTGCCTTAAACTCTGGAACAATCTGCCCATCAACATTTGACAGGCCACCTAAGTCTCTACTTTTAAATCTCTCCTCAAAACACACCTGTACTCATTGGCATTTAACACAGTGTGATCTCATTTGGTATTTCATTGTTGATGATTGTGTTCATGCCTTTTACGCTTACTCCCTGACATTTAATGCAGAGTGATTTGATTTAGTATGTCATTGTTTCTAATTATATTTAATGCTTTTATGCTTTTATTCCTGATGCTGTAATATCTTGTTATTAATATTTGATGCTGTGATCTTTTTTGGTAAGCACTTTGATAACAGTTATGGTTTTAAATATGCTGTATAAATAAATGTGACTTGACTTGACAACCAGAGTACAGCTAAAACAGTCACTACAAATGTCCTTTCAGTCCAACGTTTACTGCAGATGTTGGACACCGAGTGGTGAAAGAAAATTAATTGTATGAGGTAAGAGAGGAGTAGCTGCAGTGTTTCCTTAAAAAAAGACCAAAACAGTCCTGTTGGTTGTGAGCAGCTGCAGTTAAAGGCACATTACTGCAGTTTTTCCTTCACACAAATAAGGACAAACATCTACTCGCTGAGCTCCTTGGTTTTTACACTAATTTAGCAAGTTGTCCTCTTGTCACTCGTTCATAAAGAACCACTGATCTGACAGTCAGAAATACACAGAAGCAGCAAATCACCCTGTCATAGTCCTCCTCCAGGAACACGCGGTCCCTCTGCAGGATTTCATGGAGCCGAGCCTTGACTCGGTGCTGGCAGCTGCTTAGAGAGTCGCTGTCGCTGTCCAGCAGTCCGTTCATGTTGGCACTCTTCACCATCTGGACCAAGATAGGGGTCAGCTCCCCCTCCAGAGCCAGCAAGCCCTGCTCTCACACACAAACACACACACACACACAATGAGGAGAAAAAGCTTTAATGCAAAGTGATCTGATCAGGATGTGATTACAACAAACTGACTGATCAACTACAATCGGCTGTCTGTGTAGGGGAATAGAAAATAATTTTATGGCAATATTCATTAAGCTCAAAGCAAACTTGGTGAATGTTAGTTAAAAAAATGCAGAAATGTTAATATTTTTAAAAATATGTCAACTTGCTTTAGAACTTTTGGGCCAAACCATGTGTTGGTCTGAAACAGAAAACGGGATGTATTTGACCTAGTCAAGGTAGATGAAAGAACAAACATGAAATAATTTGGTTCGTTCAGTCTGCAAAAAAACCAAGTTGCAGAGAAGGTAAAAGAGAACTACAGTAGTTCCTCGTTTCTCACGAGGGTTTCCGTTTTCAGCCCCCCACCCCCCCCGGCGATAAGTGAAAAACCGCGAAGTAGGAGTAGTAGTTTATTTTTGTATATACAGTATATTATATACATATTACATATATAAATATATGTATTAAAAAAATTTATATATTTAAAAAGACATTTTAAACCCTTCCCACACTCTTGCAATATTCTAAACCAGGGATGTCAAAAAGTGGCCAAAATTAAAACCTTTTTCAAACTAGGGGCCAATTTCAGAATCCACATAAACTCAAATCAGATACCCAACATCTTTTCTTGGTCACAGGTTCCTCAAAAAGAGTTGGATTGGTCTCATTAGACATCTACACCTCTAGATGCAGGAAGAGGGCCACCTGCATCATGAGGGACCACACTCACCCAGCACATGCACTTTTTGCCCCGCTCCCCTCAGAGTCAGAGTCAGAGTTTCTTTATTGTCATTCGCACCTCATGTGGTACATGTGGTGGAGCGAAATTATGTACACAGGGTCCCAGTTACATCCAACAATAAAATGTATAAGAAAAACAGTAATAACATCTAAGATATGAACTAAGAAAAACATCAACTAAATATACACTAAGCACTCATAACATAAAACATTGAACATCAGCACAAACATGAACATGAGTCTGTGAGCAGATGTGCATGCATGAACACATCAACATTGAAACAGATCAGCAGCAACATGAAACAGATCAGCAGCAACATGAAACAGATCAGCAGCAACATGAAACAGATCAGCAGCAACATGATATGGTTTTTCACAGTGATTATTCTAGTTAGAGATTCATGAGTCTAACAGCCTCAGGGTAGAAGCTGTTCCTCAGTCTAGTGGTTCTACACTTAATGCTCCTTAACCTCCTTCCTGAGGGGAGTGGGGCAAAAAGTGTGTGTGCTGGGTGGGTGGGGTCCTTCATGATGCAGGTGGCCCTCTTCCTGCATCTGGAGGTGTAGATGTCTGTGATGGTGGGGAGACTGACTCCAACAGATTTCTGTGCAGATTTCTCGGGAGGGAGGTTGAGGAGCATTGGGTGTAGAACCACTAGACTGAGGAACAGCTTCTACCCTGAGGCTGTTAGACTCATGAATCTCTAGCTAGAATAGTCGCTGTGGAGAATCACATCATGTTGCTGCTGATCTGTTTTGTGTTGCTGCTGATCTGTTTCAATGTTGATGTGTTCATGCGTGCACATCCGCTCACACAGACTCATGTTCATGTTTGTGCTGATGTTCAATGTTTTATGTTATGAGTGCTTAGTGTATATTTAGTTGATGTTTTTCTTAGTTCATATCTTAGATGTTATTACTGTTCTTGTTTCTTATACATTTTATTGTTGGATGTAACTGGGACCCTGTGTACATAATTTCGCTCCACCACATGTACCACATGTGGTGTGAATGACAATAAAGAAACTCTGACTCTGACTCTGACTGATTTGATGTTCTCTGTTGTGCTTTCGACATCATAATCAAAGATTACTGAAAAATGTCAAGAGACAGAAGAATTTTACATTTCATATATCATCTTGGGGGCCAGATAAGATGTCAGAGAGATCTATATTTAGCTCCCGGGCCTTGAGTTTGACACATATGGTCAAAACAATGTTTCTAAACTCTAAACACTCTAAAAGAGCACAGAATGTCATGAACTCTGCTCTCTGCCTCTAGCTGCACGCTGCCACGCCCACTTCTCCTCTGCAGTGCCGAGATAATGACATGCGGCAGAAGGAAGCTTCTCCCTGCACATGTGGGCTGCACACAGGTGCAGCAGGTGCTAAATAATTTAAAATAATTTATTTTAAATAAAAAAATTCCATGCCAATCATGTGTATATATATATATATATATTTTAGATTTTGACGCGGAAACCCAACTTTTGATAGTGACCTTTTTTACGCCTAGATGCAGCCACACACCTGATGACATGATTCAACCTTTTTTGTTGTTATATACCTGGATGACTGAGAAAACAAACTTTGTGTTTTTGAAACCATTAGTGAAAAGGCCAGACTTCAGGGGTATCTGAGGCAGGCTTGAAACACAAGAGTCAGGGTGGCTTCTGGGTAATACCAGATGGCTAGGCCTCAGACTGACGAAGCCTCTTGGATGAGGGGCGAAACGTTTCTTTTTAACAAAAAAACGAAGTCCAGATGACATGATTCAACCTTTTTTGTTGTTATATACCTGGATGACTGAGAAAACAAACTTTGTGTTTTTGACACTATCTAAATACTTTTACATTTGAAAGCTCCATAAGTTGTGTTGGGCTGTGTAAAGAAATAGAAGAATAACATTTTTTAGTAATAAATTTTGGCAAATCCCAGAAGAAAAATCCAGAAAAATTAACCTTTTAAGTTTTCTACATAATACAAAAAATAATGCACATATTTATTTATATAAATAGAGGACAATACTTCCTTAAATTGAGGTTAAACTGTGAAAATAAAAAAAACAATTATACTATTTTTAAAGAGAATGTGGATGATTTGGCTCATGTACAAATGTTTATTTTGTTATTTGAGAGCGTGCAGGTGCACATTTTGTTTCTTGTTGACAAAGACAGTGATCCTACTTGAGTGCAATATCAACTCATTTGAAAGTAAAATAAAATCTAGAAATAAATGATCAAAATATTAAATCTGAAATGCTGTTAGTTAGTTGCTCACTGACGCTTGTGAATGACTGGTCGTTGGTTGGATCTCAGATTTTTCCCTCTCTCTATGTTTCTGCAGTTTTACCTTTGCAAACGCTGCAGCCGTCATCTGCACCCTGCCTTCATCAGAGGCGTAAATCTTCAGGTCGTGCCTGTAGGTGCTGTGCAGACGCAGCAAGCCACACCCTGGAAATCCAGCATAGTCTCCTACAAAAACCACAGTCCAAACAACAACATGATGTAAACAGAGACAGAAGCAGCGGGACATTCAGCTGTTTACCCTGAACATCTGGTACACATCTGCACAGTGACGTTAGTTGGAGTCAAAGGGTGACATTTTATTCACATAGATTTCTGTCATTTTCAACCTTTTCACATGCACTAAATAAATGCCTTGAACTTTAAATGTTTTTTTTTTCTTGTTTTAATTGATATTGGAGACTTTAATCCGTCATTGTTGTAGAACTGTTGGACTCTCTTTATGGTGAGGACACTTTCGGTCTTTGAACCACTACATTTTCAAACCTGACCTTAAAGATTAGAAAACCTGTTTCTACTATGTGTGTTCAAAACTTAAAATGTCTTTAACTCCTAAACAATCAACGCTCAAAGGTTTGTGCTAGTTGACTTTCTCATCGTGAGTTTTGAACTCATTCCTCAAACGTTAGTATTGTAATGAATAGAAGAGTTAAAGGAATCATGAATAAAAAGCATGAAATACTTTAGGATATTTAACACTAGCCAGAGAAAGTTGAGACCTCTCACCTTGTCCTCCCGGGTACATACAGCGGAAAGCTCGTCCCAGCTCCTCAGCTTGAACTCGGCCTGCTGGAGTCAGTTCTCCTCCCCACTTTAGCACCAACAGCAGAGATGGACCTTCCTTACGGTTATCTAAAATGACACAAATACAATTAATAAGCAGCTTGAGCAGCTTGAACCAGTGTTTGAGGTAAAACAACTGCATATTTCCCCACCTTCCTCTTCACTTGAGGTTTTAGGCTGCCCATGGGGAAGGTATGTAAGCTGCACTTTCCTGTTGATCCCAGAGAAGTGACCATACCTTTAAAATCAGAAAAAAACATTAAATCACTGCAAAGATTTATGGATAAACACTGATGTATGCCATATTTTACTTCGGATAAGGTGAAGTGAAATTATCTCTTGGAATGAATAGGGGCATGATGTTAATGTGATACAATGAAATTTATTTCAAAGAATAGTTGGTTCAGTTTAGATAAATGGAGAATGAAAACAGTAGTAGTGACATAAATTCATTGTTAAAAATGTTTAAAATAATTTTCTGGTTAAAATAACTTTCTTTAAGGATTTTTATGTTAAGAATTATTTATCTGTGATCGACTTGCTGAGTTCTGATAAACGTCTGATCGATTAGTCATGTCTGCAGAGCTTGAAGGAGTTGGAGCTCTGACAATGCTTCATTCACCTACAGGACAGCTGCATGAATGAAAGCATCGTGTCAGAGTATCTTTCACTCTTATGATCCTCTTTCAGGTAGTTAAACAATTGTTGTGTTTAAAACATTTATTAAACATTTTCTGAGTATTTTCAACTGAAAGTTGAGTGGTTTTGATCAAGTGGTTGATGTTTAGGACCGTGATTTAAAATGTTGTTTTAAGCTAATTAGCTTCATTCAGTCTGCAGTCGACATCTCACTACGAGACGAGGCGGGTGTTAGTACGCTATATAACAATTTCCTGCAGGATCAATACAGTTCTATCTGATCTTATCTTAAGTGTAGTGTACATTCAAGGACCGAAAATGAGACTGTTTGACTACATTTAGGGTTAAATTCAATGTGTTTATTTTGGTAATAGGACAAATGTAGATTTCAGTGTTCCCCCTACATTACTTGCCTTCGCAAGGCGCTCATCTCTTCTGTGATTTTTGTCAGGGTGGGCGTGGGGGATGTTCGGTTCAGTAGGTGAGGCGTTCACTTCTGTTGACGGGGCAGGGCGCCCTGCTTGTATAATGGTAGGGGAAACACTGCATTTCTATTTTTATTTTATTTCAAATAAATTCCGTCTGCAGATGCCTGAATGAAAGCATCGTGTCAGAGCATCTTTTACTCTCATTATCCTCTCTTAGGCCGCAACACTAACAAACAAAAATTCTATTCAATTCAATTCAATTAAAAAATACTTTATTAATCCCAGAGGGAAATTATATGTTGGGTAACTCATCATCCTGGTTTCATTAAAGAGTTGTTCTAGATGCTGATGGCTGTGGGCAGGAAGGATCTCTTGTAGCGGTCTGTCCTACAATGGATTTGAAGAAGCCTCTGACTGAAGACACTTTGTTGTTGTATGACAGTCTGATGAAGAGGATGCTGAGGGTTGTCTATAATGTTCTTCATTTTATGAAGAATCCTTCTTTGTACAATCATCTCCAAAGGTTCTAGAAGAGTCCCAGAACTGAGCCAGCCTTCTTTATGAGCTTGTTGATCTTTTCATTTTTTCTTTTAAAACAGGACCAGGATGCAGTTTCTATTAAAATAATTACTTTTCTTTGAAATTCAGTGTTTGAATGTTTCAGGAAAGCACAAAATTTTTCTTTTTTATTTAAATTTGTGTTATGTTGTATGAAGTGTTTACTGTACAGACACTATAGATTAATCAGGGATGTGTAAAGCACAGTTTAAACAAATATTTGTCCTCATTATAAGAAAAAGTCAAACTAATAAAACAAGCAGTACACCGGTGTACCCCGATGCTGAGGGATCTGAATAGTGAAGGTTTGTAGATTGAGATGAGAGTTTTCCTGGATTGGAACTGAACAGGGAATGCTAGTGAACCTTAATTACTTACATTTCTAAAACGGTCTTCAGCTGCTCCAATTTGGACTTTTTCTCTTCAATCTCACAATCATTTTGTTGCTCTAGTTCAGCTAATAGTAGCCGCGTGATATCCAGCACCTCCTGTTCAAGTTTAGGATAAAAAATATATACATCAAATGCACTGCCAGAGTCGACGCACATGAGGAGTTAAAGGTTATATAAAAACAGATCTTTTTATTACCTGTAGCTGTTTAGGCTTTTTCAGTTTTAATTTCCCTGTTTTGTATCCTTCGTATTTTTCAAACAGCTCAAAGAACCTGATGTATCAAAAGAAAATGAATGAATTCAAAGTTTTTTACAACTCGTGTAAAAATATTACTGTAGAGAAAACACACATGGGATTGCGAACTTCCATCTTCATCTTCTGTTTGGGAGTTCTGTCTCCGTGACGGATGACAGCGATGACACAACGTAGCTCCATCCTGAGGGGGGTTAATGAAAATACCAGCAGTCCTGTTAAACAAGATGTGGACTCTAGTTCCTGATGAACCAGCTTTAATACTAGTATGACTTACATGGTTCCTGAGGTGGTGGGAACAATGGGGATGTCCTCTGCCTCAGTTGGGATGGACCATGGTATCTGAAAATGAGGGGCCAGCTCACGCATCACAATATTCCTGAAATATCACGCAGAGACGAACGTCAGCAAATCAAGAAAACTCAAGAACGAGTTTAAAGGCACAATAAGAACTGAAGAAAGTACCCAAGGATCTTGGCACAGTCATCATAGTATTTCATGGAGTTCTTCACAAAACTGAAACCATTGACATCACACACGTAGGAGCGTCCGTTAGCGCGGAGAAGATCGAAGCCACACACAGTTTGCTGCAGGAAAATGAGAAGACACAAAATCCCTAAAGGTTATTCTTAAAGAAACTTCATGTTTTCAGCTTCTTCTCCAACTCAAGGCGTGTATAGAAAAGATATAGTCCTCCATTCCTACGAGGATCCTCCAGGTCCCTCTGCCTGAGGAGCGAGTACGATCCAGAGATTTGTGAAAGGCAACTGGTGCACACTTGTGTAATAAAAACCGGAATTTCTAAAGATGGCGCCAAAGACACCACCTGACAAAGGTAAAGTTGAAGACTTCTCGCTGCACATCCGAGGGGCTTTCTCAAATCAAAAATGAAGAAGGTGGATTTCCAAGCTTTATAAACTAAATGAGCAGTTGGTTTGTCATTTAGGTCAAATGAGAAAAACAACTTTAAACAAAGAAAGTCTCAGATTTCAGATTTTTCTAAAAGCTGCAGAGTCAGTTCCACTCTGATTCACACCTTCATACAGGTCACTGATAAATGTCTCTGTGAGCTACCAAAGACCCTAATGGCCCTTCATTGTGAGAGGCATGCACCGGTAGGTGAATCAGTGGTGGACTGTCAGGGCCAGCAAAGCCCTCTCTGCTGGCCTAAACACAATCTGAATCACTAACTTACATTTTAATATGATTTTCTATTTAATTTTTTTATTCTGAAATGTCAGTTCTCTTCATTTCATAGCTTTTCTCCTGGTTGTGCAGCTTCCAGTAGCATATGTGTATATATAGAGCCAAGCTTTTATCTCATCATATTTTGACTGTCATCTGTTGCTAGGGTCAAAGAAATCTTCCTGAAGGCCTTCAGATTCAACAGTGCAGGCCCCTGCAGGTTTAAACAAATGGCAATGAAGCTGTTGCTTTGAACAATCAGAAGTTGAGTTGGGAATAGCTGGGCCTTCAAGAAGGCATTATACAATGTCTGCATTTTCACATCATTTGATTGGACGGTCAGAGAGCAGACTGGGCGGGGCTTGGACACTGTATCTGTCAAGTAGGTATCTCTGCAGACAAAAACAGAAGGCGTATCAGGAGGGCCACATCTGATTGGATGACAGAAAAATGGGCGTATCCAGAGGGCCACATTTGATTGGACGAAACAAAAAAGGCTGAATAAAAAAACAAGGCGTTTGTGTTAATCACAGCCATATTATGTCTATGATGTTAATCGGTTCAACGTTAGCGGCGTCTCCATAACTTCTCTTTCTGCCTCTCTTAACACAGAACTTCCGGTTACATTTCAAAATAAGAGCAGCATAAATGGGTACCGGGGAGGGCTAAATGTTTGTTTTTAATACCTAGCCATTACATTAAAAAAAAATAATCAATTTTGGTTGTTGAATAATGTGAAAATAGTTACAATCAATTCATAAATAAAGTAAAATAAAGTAACAAAAATAATAATGATACTGAAAATTCTTGTTCAACATTTTAAATCAGTCACTGCAGATGAGTGATTGTCAGTTTCTGTAAGATTACAACTGGAGCAGGTATTTCTGTTTACTGGTTAACTTCCTCAGTTGTCTCACATTTTAAGGGTCAGTCCTACTCCATGTTTCAGCTCCTTTCACAGATCAGATCTCATATTAGAGCACTTCTAAAGAGAAAATTTTATTTTTATCTTTTGTTTTGGGCCATTATCTTGTTACAGGACTCATGATCTTTAATTGAGACCAGACTTTTTGACAAATGGGAGTAGGTTTTACTTCAGATGCTTCATATTTCATTGTACCCAGAACACGCTCAAGCCAACCTGTGTCAGGTGCAGCTACAACCAAGAACAAAAGAGAATCTTCTTGTGTTTGACAGCAGATATAACGCTGTTTCTTAGAAACCTTCAGTTTTAAAAAAGAGCTGACGTAACTTACCTAAAGATCCAGCAAATACAGCTGCCAATCAGTGTTTATCCTCTAGAAACGCCTATTCTCCAGAAACAACCACTTTTGGTCTGCAGAGAACCCCTTCTCGTATCTGTAGCAACCTGCACAAGCTAAACGTTGAGCAGACATTCTCAGCCCGAAACCAAAATGGTGTAGAACACCAAGGGTAGAACCACTAGACTGAAGAACGGCATCTACCCTGAAGCTGTTAGACTCATAAATACCTAACCAGGAAAATCACTAAGAAAAAAAGGAAATCACTGTAATTCCACTTTACTTGGTGATGTGACTTATCTGTGCTGCTGAATTTATTCATACCCATCCACTCACCACAGACTCATGTTCAGGCTGCTGTTTAATATACCGTATTATTTTAAATTATTAGTGTTTAGCATATCTTATAAGGGGCAGCACGGTGGTGCAACTGGTAGAGCCGCTGCCTCTAAGTGAGCAGGTCCCCGGTCAAATCCCGGTCCGGGGGCCTTTCTGGGTGGAATTTGCATGTTCTCTCCGTGCATGCGTGGGTTTTCTCCAGGTACTCCAGTTTCCTCCCACAGACCAAAAACATGCATGTTAGGCTGATTGGTAACTCTAAATTGTCTCTAGGTGCGAGTGAGAGAGTGAATGTTTGTTTGTCTCGTTTGTCTCTATGTGGCCCTGTGATGGACTTGCGACTCGTCCAGGGTGTCCCCCGTCCCTCGCACAGTGATTGCTGGACATGGGCACCGGCGACCCCTGTGACCCAAAATGGAAGAAGCTGGTAAAAGATAATGGATGGATATATCTTACATCTTTTAGCGTATCGTTTAGTGTTCGTTTAGCGTTTATCTTAGTGTATAAATCAGATCCTTGTATAGTTTCTTTTTATAATTTATATTTTTGCTATCTTTGGATGTAACTGGGACCTTGAGTACACGGTTTCGTTCCACCTCATGTACCACATATGATGCCAATGACAATAAAGAAACTTGAACTTGAATTAAAACTTGTTCTGTAAAAATAACAGGGCCGACTCTACTTTCAGCGGTAGCTTTCATGGCAACAGAAAAGGACTTGTTGAATCTGAAACTCTGTGATGACCTGTAGGACAGAGGAACTGAACTCATTGCGGAAAGAAAGGAGGATGGAGTTTGAGTACAGATAAAAGTTTTGGTGAGTAATATGCATTTTATATTTTTGTAATTTGATTTAGTCCATATTGATGCTTTTGGTAAAAATGGCTGGTGCAGCTGAAGCTGCAGTTGAAGGAAACTTGTTGCATTTTACTATAATTGGGTGTTGTGCTTCAGTCAGAATCAGAACCAGAATGCCTTTATTGTCATTATACACAAGTACAATGAGATTTAAGTCGCTCCTTTTTTCAGTGAAAAACATGCTTAAGAAAAACACACTCTAAAAACATAAACATGTAATATCCTGATGCATGCTCAATAATCCAGGTAGAAAAATCCAAAAAAGTTCAATCTGGTCCTCTGGACATTCAAAATAAATAAATAAATAAATAAAACAAAGCAAAAAAATATAGAAACGTTTCGTCTCTCATCCAAGAGACTTCCTCAGTCTGAGGTGCTGTTTTCAGCTCAGTCTCTTAAATAGCACCTTCTCAGGTCATCAGGACTCTATCACAGAGCAGACAGCGTCCCCACTAACTCAGGAGCCAGGCAGAAGGAGAAATCCCACACAAGACAGGCTCTAGAGCAATGTGGATATCCTAACTGGGCCTTCCTGAAAGCAGAGAAGAAACCCAAACAGGACTCCAGTCAGCCATCAGGTGAAAAGGAGGAACCCAGACCAGTGGTCATTCCATATGTTGAGGGAGTATCAGAGAAACTGAGACGTTTATTTTCTAAACATAACGTCCCAGTGGCTTTTAAACCCCAAAATACATTACGGCAAAGACTGGTTCATCCCAAAGATCCAGTCCCCCGGCACAAACAGAGTAATGTTGTGTATGCTGTTCAGTGTCAGGAGGGCTGTGATCAGTCTTACATCGGGGAAACTAAACAGCCACTGGCCAAAAGGATGGCCCAGCACAGAAGATCAACATCATCAGGCCAGGACTCTGAGGTCTACCCTCATCTCCAGGCCAGCGGTCACTCTTTCAAGGATGAAGATGTTCACATCCTGGACAGAGAGGAACGATGGTTTGAGAGAGGAGTAAAGGAGGCCATCTTTGTGAAAAGAAATCGTCCATCATTAAACAGGGGTGGAGACCTCCGGGTTCAACTGTCCCCTCTTACACTGCTGTGATTGCTAGTATCCCTCAGCCCTCTGTGAATAGTAAACAGCCATCAGTGTGCTAATGATCCATTGTTAGGCTGATGGTCCTTCTTGAGCATGTGATCAGCTGGTTTTGGTTGTCAGCAGCAAAACTGGTTGATCCACTCTGAGAAGGTGCTATTTAAGAGACTGAGTTGAATACAGCTCCTCAGACTGAGGAAGTCTCTCGGATGAGAGACGAAACGTTTCTATATTTTTTTGCTTTGTTTTGTTTTTTGTTTTTTTTGAATGTCCAGAGGACCAGATTGAACTTTTTTGGATAAACATGTAACACAATACAGATATAATAGCACTATGAAAGTAAAAAAATACAAGTTATTTCACAATTATGTAAATTTGAATATTGCACACTATGGATATTAGTGATCAGTGAAAGCTTTCCAACAATTTTCAGTCAGGTCATCTGGACAGTTTCTTTCTTTTGTGCTGAAACATTTTCACCTTCCATCCGGAAGGCTTCATCAGTCAAGGAAACACAACAAAACTGATTCTTCCCCCAACAGCTTACTCTAAAGTGGAACAAACCAGTTCTGTTGGTGCTAAGATGGTGTCTTTGGCATGCCCCCTCCTCTGGTGCCGGCCCTCTCCCTCATCGAAAGTCATGTCAAACTGGTTCAAAACCAACAAAGTCCATGTTCAGTAATAGCTTTCATTCTCGCTACATGAGACATCCGTCTGTGATGCAGCATAATATTCCACGTTTCTGTGTGTTATTGATGGTTTCTGCAGCCGTAGCGTCATAATGATGGTAATCAAAAGGTGGATTAATTCAGGCAGGACACTGTAGGCCTATAACTCGGTCATTCTTTGAGACATTGAGGTGAAATTAAGTATGGCTGTAGCTGAGAGCGAGTTGTTAAACATTCCTAATGCAAATCAAATATCCAAGATGGTCGCCTTAGCTAAAAGAGAATAAAATATGATAACGGCCATTTTTAGTGGTATTCAGCTGAAATTTGGCGCATTGGTAGCTGAGAATGATCCCTAATAGACTCTGACTGAAAATCAAAAATTCAAGATGGCTGACGGAGCAAAAAAGGAAAAATACTACAAATCAGCCATTTTTACACAGAGATGAAATTTAGTGAAGTCATAGCTGAGAACATTCCCTATTACATACTGAATCCAAATAAAAAATCCAAGATGGCCGCCTTAGCTAAAAAGGAAAAAATAAGATAACTCAGCCATTTTTAAAGCTATTCAGCTGCAACTTGGTATAGTGGTAGCTGAGAGTGAACCCCAACATATATAAATAAAATTTTTAAATTGGCAGCAGCCTGGCAGTCCCCGTCAAAGTTTCTCTAGGAACTTTCTAGTTCAAGATCACGTTCAAGGTCAAAGTCAAGTTCAAGGTTCTTTATTGTCATTTGCAATCACATGTGGTACATGAGGTGGAACGAAATTGTGTACACTGTATACAGGGTTCCAGTTACATCCAACAATAGCAAAATTATAAATTGTAAAAGAAATAGTACTATGGATCTAAGATATAAACTAAGAAATACGCTAAACACTAATAGTGTAAAACAATACGACGAACAACAGCAGCACGAACATGAATCTGTGTGACCAGATGAGTACGAATGAATACAGCAGCATGAAATAAATCAGACGCATGAGATCAGCAGCATGGATAATCAGCAGCATATATCAACAATCAGAGTGGCATTACAGTGATTTTATTTTATTTTTTTCACAGTGAAAATAGATGCTGCGTGTGAAGACAAAATAGTTGCTCACCTTAAATGCCAGGCACACTTTACGAGCCATCAACTTCTCCATTGCTGAGAGCATGACAGGGTAGCGGACCTCCTTCCCCTCACTGTCTCTTTCCACCTTCCCATCCAAAGCTGGAGACTTTCGGGCTTCAGCATGAGCGTAGTCCGGTCCAACGGTGTAAACCTGATGGCACAAAAACAAGCATCCAGAGCCATCAAATAGAAGTTTGCTTTGAAGGCTTTATTGCATCAATTTACTGAGAAGTAAGTAAAACCTTTCTGAAATCATCATTACATTTCAAAGATCTTAGAGTGGCCTGAGATGTTTTATCATTTTATAATAAGTGAAGATCGATCTAGACTTTACCTTCACATCCGTTCCATCAGTTGGCATGAACTCTTCATAGATGTAAGAGCCCGTCTTCCTCACGCTGCTCTCAGGAGAGTAGACACTGCTCCTGCTCCCAATCTGCATCAAACACAGATGAAGTAGGACTGATCAGTTTGACTGGACTGTCACTGCTTCGTTTGATCAAACTCATTTTAAGAACTCATACCATCCATCACAATCTGCAGTTTGACAACATTACCACCAACATGCATCTTTATCTTCATCGAGGAACAAAACAACATTTACAGGTTTTCATGAGTAACTAGATAAAACGGAAACAAAGCTGATATGAAGAAAACATTAGCTTTATCATGTCTTCTGTGTGACCACCAGCATCAACTTCACAGAGACCACAAATGAAGGCAACATCTGACCTGATGTGCTTTTAGAATTGGTATGCCTTTTCTATATTCTTGTTACAACGTCATTAAACTTGGTAACGTAGCCCAATGCTGTCATTTCAGATTGCAACAAGTGATGTCTCTGACGCTGAGGAATTTGAATAGTGAATGTTTTGTATTTTTTAAAAAGAATGTTTTCTGGACTGGAACTGAAAAGAGAATTCAGGTAAACCTTAATGTTTTTGATGTGCAATGTTCAAGTGTGTAGGAGTTGCACTGTGGAGAAGAACAGAGGGAGGAGTTTTTAAATTTTTTTGCTCGTCAAAACAGAGTGACAGATCTTGGAGAGTGTAGGGAACAATTTTACCCATGACCAGGTGCAGTGGCAGAGCCAGGGGGTGGCTAATGGTGGACTTGACCTCTTTTAAGCAATACAAAAACTAGAAAGCATAGTTCCAGTTCACCAGCTCACAAGACGGACGGACATATGTGGTGGCAACCATCTTGGATTTTGACGTAGCAGCCCAATTTTGAAAATGTACCTCTTTTATGCAGCAGCACGGTGGTGCAGTTGGTGGAGCTGTTGCCTCTCAGTGAGAAGGTTGCAGGTTCAAATCCCACCCAGGGGGCCATTCTAGGTGGAATACCCCAGTTTCCTCCCACAGACCAAAGACATGCATGTTAGGCTGATTGGTAACTCTAAATTGTCTCCAGGTGAAAGAGTGAATGTTTGTTTGTCTTGTTTGTCTCTATGTGTCCCTGTGATGGACTGGAGTCCTGTCCAGGGTGTCCCCCACCTCTCGCACAGTGACTGCTGGATATGGGCACCAGTGACCCCCGTGAGCCGAAAAGGACAAAACAGGTAAAGATAATGGATGGAAGAACCTCTCGTACACCTAGATGCAGCCATAAGCCAAAAGGGAAGTCAATACCTCACTTATTTTTCAAGTTATGCTCACAACATGCACTGACAGACGGTTATTTCCAATTTTCTCTCTTCGCTCTACAACGGGGGACAAAAACTTGAGAAACTAGTCTTATTACTGGAAGCGCCAAGCGTTCATGCTGGAGACTGTAGTTAGCTGGTTATATATTAATTTCTAAGACACATTTGTAGTTGTGAGCTAGTAAAAGTCTTTGAACAAGGAGAATGGCAGAAAATCTTACACAGCTCCAGCTCCTCACAGTATTTAAAAAAGTCTTTCTTCATCTAATTTGTCCTGTCTTTTTTATTTATTTGTATTAAACCAATTTTGAAAACTATTTATTCAATAGTTCTTAGAAAGTAGAAGTCAAACTGTGGTTGTTGCAGTAATACCAATAAAGACTCATAATGCCAGAGTACAGTGTGTTTGCAGCAGGAACATCTGGTACTTTTTACTGTACGTCATCAAAACACAAGAATGGCTTTGATTCAGTGAGTATTAACGTAACGCTTGTTGTGGTGGTTCAGAGTCATTATGGTCAATATGAAAACGTTATCAAGGAATAAAGGGTAATACTTGCAGTGTTCTAACTGATCTACAGTTAATGGAGGTGTCAGACTGAGATGGGTGTGTTGGGGATCAACAACACAAAGAATTTGAGTTCATGTCCAAGTTCCAGAAGACTTGGGGAGGTTGGGTGTGCTGGAGGAGGGTGGATGAAGATGTATGGTTTAAGTGTGGCCAAGGCTGCAGTGAACTGGCAACATGCAAACACCTGCAGATGTTTATTAGTTTATTAAATGCCATGACTTTCATAGGGGGAAGGACACCCCCCCTTTGGATAATGCTAGGAACACGCTGGCTAAGATTAAAACATAACATAAAATTGAAGTTTAGATTTAAAAGTTAACACAAATTCAAGTGCCACTCTACAAGAGTAGTTTGTTTACAAAGAGAGGAGATGCTGCCAATTGTTATAAAAATGTATTATGTTGAGTATACAAATAAAGCATCAAGGTAAATACCTTTCTGAAGAGCCGCTGGCTGCCTCCTCCTGCAGAGGTGGGGTAGTAGATGTAGACGTTGTGGTCTTCAGCACAGACAGGCTTCTCCACAAAAGGCTTCTGGAAAATCTCTCCATTCACCTCCACGTGGTCCTCTCCTTCTACCAGGTTACACTCTGAGACAAACGTACAAAGTAGATGTTGCCATTTAGAGACTTTTCATTACGACACTAATTCAGACAGATGACATTTGAACCTGCACAGTTTCCTCTGAGCCCTGTGAGGAAGCTCTGAGATATGAACCACATGACTCACTGCCTTTCATCTGATCCCTCATTATACATGGGACTCAGTCTGTATCTCTGAGTCAAAACAAAACTTAAATGTCAAACTCGTATCAAAGAACTGAAGTGTGGGACACTTCACATTCACTGCTATATTTATCCCAAAGTTAAAATAATACAAATGCCTTCTAAAATAAACAGCAGAACGTTGCACGATAACGACAGCCAGGTTACTTTACTCCTAACAAGAGTTAGTTAATATGTAACATTAAAGCTATAAGAGTACTTGCATGTGGAAAATTAGTAGATTTATTCTGTCAAAATATTAATTCATTATTTTCCGTTTGTTCCGGAGTCAGGTCATGAGGCAGCTGTTTAAGCAGGGAGGTCCAGACATCTCTTTCCACAGCCACCACTTCCAGCTCTTCGATTCCAAGGTGTTCCCAGGCCAACTAAGAAACATGCATATCCAGAATATCCTGTCTTCCCGGGGGGTTCTCCCAGCAGGACATAGCCAGAAAACCCTAAAGAAGCTGGCTCCTCCTGATGTGGAGGAGCAGCAGCTCTACTCCAAGTACGATAACTAAATGTTTCATCTCATGACTAAAGGAGAGTCTGACTATTCTACAGAGAAAACTGATTTAAACTGCTTGCATTTTTAATCTTGTTCATTCAGTCACTACCCAAAGTTCATGACCATAGGTGAGGATGGGAACATAGAACGACTGGTACATAGAGAGCTTCTCCTTGTAGCTCAGCTCCCTCCCCACAATGGCCTGGCACAGTCTGAAGTGCTGAGATAGCTGCACCAATTTATAAGTCGATCTCCTGCTCCATTTTTCCCCACATGTGACCAAATCCCTGAAATATTGGAACTCCTCCACTTGAGGCAGAACTTCACTCCCTACCTAGGGATGGCAATCCACCCTTTTCCAACAGAGAATCATAGTCAGAAATCTGGAGGTGCTGATCTTCATTCCAGCCACTTCACACTCTATTATGAACCACTCCAGTGAGAGCTGAAGATCACGGCATGATGACAACAGGACCACATCATTAACAAATAGTGGAGATGGAGTCCTTGTGGCCAAGAAACCAGACTCTCTCCACCCCCTGGCTGTACTGAGAAATTCTGTCCATAAAAATTATGAACAGGATCAGTAACAACAGGCAGCCCTGGTGGAGTCCAACTCTCACCCTGAAGGGGTCCGGCTTACTGCAGACAACACAAACCAAACTCTTGCACCGCTTGTACAGTGACTGAATGGCCCGTAGCGATGAATGCTCAATCTTGTACTCACAAAACACCCTCCCCCAGTGCACTCCAAGGAACACTGTTGAATGCCTTCTCCAAGACCACAAAATACATGCAGACAGGACAGACAAATTCCCATGACCCCTCGAGGGCCTTAGTGAAGGTAAGAATTGGTTTACAGTTCCCCGGCCGAGACAGAAACCGCATTGTTCCTTCTGGATCGAAGGTTCGACCATGGATCCAACCTTCTTCTCCAGTACCCCTGAATAGACCTTACAGGGAGGCTAAGGAGAGTGATGCCCATGTAGATAGAGCACACACTGTGGTCTCTCTTTTTGAAGGGAGAAACCACCACCACCCCAGTCTACCAATCCAGTGGCACTGCCCCTGATGTCCACACAATGTTGCAAATGTGTGTCAACCAAGACAGCCCCAAAGCATCCAGAGGCATGAAGAACTCCCTGCCTCCACAGAGCTTTTAACTATCTTGGTGACCTCAGCCCCGGTTATGGACGGACCAACCCCCAAGTGTAAAATATGCAATATTTGAGTGTAGAACATCAAAACAATGTCAATTAGACTGACCATCTGGTTTATCTGGGTCACGGTTCAGCACAGCGTAGCGTGGCAGCTCAATCCCTTCCTCCTGCAGGATACGATACACCTCTCTCCTGTTAAAAAAACAAACAAACAAAGCATTGCAAACAATTAGCAAAGCATGCTTAATTCCTATTAAGTCATTTCAGTTTATTTCAGAGAAGACACAGGTGTTTTCAGAAAATGGCTGCACCTGTCCTGAATATAGTATTGCATGTTCAGGTCGTTGATAAGCAGAGGGTTTCTCAGTTTGGCGTAACTCACAGCCTTATCCAACGGGAATCCTGGTTAACACGCACAGAAGACAAATTATTACAATAAGATCAAATGAAGCCATTGATCTGCAAATAAACAACAAGAAACAAGTTCAAAAAGGTTAAGAAAATACATAAATAATTAGATTAAAGGCTTAGCATTCCTTGTAGGAATGCATAACGCCCACCACATTTCATGACAGAAGTTTAGACCCTGATATTCTTCTGGTAGCCAGTCTGGTTTAAGTTTTATAATAAAGGTATGCAATACTGCAAGATCTCACATTCAAAGTATGAGTTAGTAATGACGCTCAGCTACTACAACATCAAAATTTAGCTCAATATTTGTTAAATTGGCTGAGTTATAGCCATTTTTGTGCAAATTTTGTTAAACTGGATCAACTCCAAAAGTTAACCAGTTTTCAAGATATATCTAATGGATATTTCCAGAGTGTTTTATTGAAACTTGTGCAGAGGTTCATGAGATATTTTGCTAACAGACAAACTTAGTTGACTCTAATAAATAATGGCAAGATTTTAACCAAATCTTTCGCAGTCTACTAGCACTCAGACTGTGTGTTGAGGATCACTCTCAGCTATCACCACACCAAAGTTTAATTCAGTGTCTGTAAAATCAACTGAAGTGCAGCATTTTGTGTTTTTAGAGTCAGTTGCTTGTGGAAACCATCTTGAATTAGAGTGATTCCAAACCTTACTGAAATTTAGAGGTACAGCTATGGATTATTGTCAGATTGTAGGTTGTTGTTTTTGGAAAAGTTGTTTTGTTTTTAAATGACAGTTATGTTTACGCATATTTTAGCTAACTAGCCAGCATCTTACAAATATGGCCATGTTTTCATTAGTTTAACACATATGAACATCAAACTGAAACAAGTGCAGTTTGCCCTTCTGAGTAAGTGTCCCTAAATTTTCACTTGCCAACCTCAAGAGGGTGTTACAAAGGTAATATGTTTAAATCAAAATTAATGATGATTTCTACCAAACTTTGCACACTTGGTTAGGACCACAACGTGAGATATTTCAAAGAAAAGGGTAAATGGACTGTACTTATTTAGCGCCGCAGCCTTTCTATCCAACGGTAATCAAGCTACTCAAAACACTTTCAACCACAACCTGTGCCCTCATTGACCTCCACACACACATTCACACAGCACTCTACTATCTATCCATCCATCCATTTTCTTCCGCTTATCTGGGGTCGGGTTGCGGGAGTAGCAGCTTAAGTAGGGAGGCCCAGACTTCCCTCTCCCCAGCCACTTGGGCCAGCTCCACCAGGGGAATCCCAAGGCATTTCCAGGCCAGCCGAGAAACATAGTCCCTCCAGCGTGTCCTGGGTCTTCCTCTGGGTCTCCACCCGGTGGGACGTGCCCGGAACGCCTCACCAGGGAGGCGTCCAGGAGGCATCCTAACCAGATGCCCAAGCCACCTCAACTGGCTCCTCTCGATGTGGAGAAGCAGCGGCTCAACTCTGAGTCCCTCCCGGATGACCGAGCTTCTAACCCTATCTCTAAGGGAGAGCCCAGACACCCTGTGGAGAAAACACATTTCGGCCGCTTGTATCCATGATGTCATTCTTTCGGTCACAACCCAAAGCTCATGACCATAGATGAGGGTAGGAACATAGATCGACCGGTAAATTGAAAACGTCGCCTTTTGACTCGGCTCTCTCTTCACCACAACAGACCGGTACAGCGCCCGCTTCACTGCCGACGCTGCACCTATCCGCCTATCGATCTCACGCTCAATTTTTCCCTCATTCCTGGACAAGACCCCAAGATACTTGAACTCCTCCACCTGGGGCAGGACCTCGTCCCCGACCAGGAGAGGGCAATCTACTCTTTTACGGTTCAAGACCACCTAAACACCTGTGTGAGCATGCTTATCATTATAAGGTTTCTCCATAAAAATGTTCAATAGTGGATGTGGGGGCCCATAAACCCGTCCCCACAGGACACGAAGGTAACACAGGGAAGACCGGAACCACAGACACACAGCGGCCCCCAAGCCCGGAACTCCAGGAGTCCCCCAGCAGGGACACCCGCACACCCCAGAAAGAGAAGCAAAGGGAAGCCCCGAGCGATCCCCAGCAACCACAATGCAGAAACCCCAGGAGGGTGTAGCGACGAGTCCACAGGCCCCGCCGGCAACCTGCCCCTCCAGAGTGGATCCGGCCATGGACACCAAGCCCCGAGTCCCGAGGTCATACCACCCCCCAACAGAGGCCCAACAGAGCCAGGGCACCCAGGCAGCCACCAGGGCGGGCCAGCACACACCCCACCACCCAGCCCCAGCTGCTGAGAGCCGCCAATGCACCGGCGGCAGGGTGGCCCACCACCGGAGGGGAGCACGACACACCAAATGAGGGGCCAAAACTGATCCAAGAGAGGGGACCACCTAAAACCCAACCCTTTTTGAATAGGGGGACCACGACCCCAGTCTGCCAATCCAGGGGAACTGCCCCTGATGTCCACGCAATATTGCAGAGTCGTGTAAGCCAACACAACCCTACAACATCCAGAGCCTTAAAGAACTCCAGGCAAATCTCATCCACTCCTGGGGCCCTGCCACCGAGGAGCTTTTTAACCACCTCGGTGACCTCAGCACCAGAGATTGGAGAGCCCAACCTAAAGTCCCCAGGCTCGGCTTCCTCTGCACTGTACTATATCTCTACAAAGATAACCTGAATCTGTAGAGACTAATCAGAGCTTTAGATCACATTCATACGCTGATGGGACACATCAGAGGAAATGAGGGGTTCAGTGTCTTCTTCAGGGACACTTCAACATGTGACTCCTGGTGGAATCGAACCCCCAACTCTCCCGTTGGAGGACGACTGCTCTAACCACTCAGCCACAGCTGCCCTCAAAGTACCTGCTGCTAAAGTGAGTGCGTCTTGGTCTCGCCTGTGACACAGATCCCCATAAAGTGATATGCAGTGTCGCTGGAGGTCTTGATTAGATGATAAAAACAAGAACAAGCACACACACTCTCAACTCTGTGATGCACTAAGTGGACGGGGCGCTGGGAATAACATGAGACAGAGCCCATGTGCAGCAAGTGGCCCATCGGCCAAGTGGACACCAATGATAACTGCTCACAATTCTAGTTTAGTTCATTTTACAAATTTTCATTAAGTCCTTTACTTTTCACCTGGTCAGCAAACACAAACAAAGAGCTGCATAATAGCACAAAGTGTGTATTATCAAGTTAGGTTGTTCTGTAAGTACGCACATGTTAGTTTATTTGGTTGGGTGGAAGGGTGGTCGGTGGGGGTTGTACCTTTGGAGTGGAAGGAGATGAGGCAGTCACACAGAGGCCATTTGTCCACAGGCTCGTTGAGGATGACGTCCTCTGGGAAGATGACCACGGTGATGTACTCAAACTTACACAGCCTCTCCAGGATCTGGGTCATTGGCTTGGACTTGGACTTCTTCATCATGCAACAGATCCCCACCACTATCTGTTGCTCTGGGGGCTGAACCATAGAAAGAAAAAACAACACACAAATAAAAACACAAGGCAGCAACCTTTTTATTATCACACACATAAACTATTTGAAATAAAATGGCAGATTGATTAACTTGCAAAAACATCAGTGAAAATGTCAAGCTTAACTGCAAGAATGCTACAAATTAAAATTAATTTAATGTTTAACAGAATAGACTTAAAATTATATTTTTATATTTACCACCATGATTCTACTGTTGTGCTTCTAGATTTGAACTTTAAGCTTCTATTTTCCAAATCCTCAAAATAGGGGTTCATTAAGGGAATGGGAAATGCTCCTGCATGACCAACTATGGAAGCTCCAATGACGTCATGTCTGTCTGAGACAGACCGGTTGAGCTGTGCTCAGAGCTCCGCCCCATCATGACACCACAGTCAAACGACCACCTCTTACTCATTCTTGCTTTCTTCCCATGAGAAACTACAACTAGCTCCCTCAGCGCAGTCCGGCTAGCTTGGTTAGCTGCTAAACAGTTCCCAGGCGTCCCGTAAAGGAGTACATCGCTGAACACACTTCCTGGCTTCAGAATGAACTGTGTTGAGTAAGTTGGTGCTTCGTAAGAAGTATCTTTGTTACATTTGGGAACGGTGACTGCGTTAAGACGAGCTGTTCCCGCCACTCAGTTTTTAAGTAATAGTAGTGTTTACAGGTGTAACTCAAGCTAACGCATCAATGCGAGCTAGCTTTCCTTAGGGGTAGCATTAGCTTGGTACCTTTAGGGTTTTCTTTCCAGCTAATGTGTTACGACGAGCTGTTTTAGCCTAGCTGTTAGCCCAGTTTTATCCCCGCAGCTAGCTCTAGCGACAGTTAACGTGTCACGACAAACTAGACTACCGTCCCGATAGATGCAGCACCCACCCCCACCAAAGGTCAGAACCAAATGCCAAGGAGGCTGTACCACTCCTGTGCCCTGTGTAACATGGGCAACCAGTTGCTCCTTCCATTTTTAGATTGGTTTTTAACATTTACGTTCTTGTATATGTAAAGTTGTGGTCCAGTGAGTAACAATTTTTTCTTTTAAACAATTAACTTTCTTTTCTATCTGGTACCCTCCTCTTCTTTGTCTTTCCAAGTTTCTGGGTGACCCATCTCAATCTGTCTGCTACACTCTTCATCTTCTCTGATCTGTTCTCTCCTCCTGTCTTCAGTCCTGCTCATAAAAAAGTAAAATCTTAATCAAATTTAACTTTTTTTTCCTGAACACTTTAGATGCTGGAAAGTCAACAATAAAGAATGAGGGTTGAAACTCAATCAAACATTTAATTTCAGGAACAGAATAAGTTTAAACTAATGTCATTGACAGCAACTTATCATTTTGAAATGTGTCGTCTTTTTTTACTTTTATTAGCATGAGTCAGCAATATCTATGGAGGTAGTTTACAGAAACTTCTAAACACAAAACTATCAACTTCTAAATTTGAAATATTTGTGGTTCTTTCCTGAGATTTATAGAAAGTTGCTTCCTGCTGATTAATTGTTGATACTGACGTATTCCAGCTGAGAAAAGAAGAAGTCTCTCACCGAGTCTGTGTCTTCGTCGTCCTCAAACAGCTCCATGTCTGTCTTTAGGCTACCTTCCAGGACCTCGCTTTCATCGTCCTCGCAGCCCACGAAGAATTTGGGAGCGCCACGCTGGCTCTCGCCGGGGCTGTTGGACTCTGACATTACAGTCCCCCGCGGCAGCCCTTAGCATCCCACCGCTCCATCGTACACCAACACACTGCCTGAGCGGGCCACCGATAGGGTGGCTGGAGAGGGGCTCGAGGCCTGGGGAAAGGGAGGGAGAGTCCACCCTGGACAGCAGAGCTATAAACTGTTGGGCGAAGCTGAGCAGCAACAGGAGACTCAAGGACGAGCTCTTAAAAGTAGAATAGGACAGAAAGGGTTCCTCTGTCCAGTCGGCAATGATGTTACTCCAGTTTTTCATTCATGATTCAGCAGATTTTCATCTTTAATGAGCTGCTTCTTCAGCAACAGGCTGCAGTTATCTGATGCAAGTCATTTTGTCCATTTGTATGCAAGACAGTCAGTCCTACAGAAACACAGAACACAATATCATTATCCAAGTAATACATCATAGTGGAACATTTTATTTTGCTTTCCTGGGTCACAATCCTTGCAACTTACAAAAAAATGTTAACGTGACAAAATCTTGCAAGTGTTTCCTCCTGATTTTGTGGTTTATTGTACAAATCTTAAATAAAAAAAAAAGTAAAAATCTTTGAAGTTCCAAGTTAGTTTGCTTAAAATGCACCAAAAAAGGATTAAAATAAATAAAGTAGACAAAAATACTTTTAATTGTCTTTAACAACAACTGAAGACAGCTTAGAAAAAATAATCAAATTTATATAACACTAGGGCTGAACAATTAATTGCATTTGCAATTTGCAGTAATATCGCGATATGATAAAATTAGATTTTCTAATCGCAAAGGCTGCGATTTGACTGGTCACATGATCTGGTTACGTGACTTGAGAGTGAGTGGAGCAAAGCAGAGCAGGGAGCGGGAGAAGTCACCACTGCTCTTTAACTGGTTGCACAATGGCATCAGGCTCGACAGAAGCTGATGAATCTGAAAATTTGGTACCAAAGAGGGGCAGCATGTCCGTTGTTTGGAATTATTTTGGCTATAAGAAAGAAGACGCTGCACAACGACATGTATTGTGCAAACCTGCCTTGCTGCTGTTGCTACCTCTCGTGGTAACACCACAAATCTTTATCAACACTTAAAAAAACACCACAAAGCCATTTATGATAGCTGCGTGGCTACAATGCCAACAACCAGTGCTTCAATTTAAATTAAGCAAAGTAGCAGCTGACGGGGATCACTGACTGAACAGAGGTAAAAAAAAAAATTGCAATTAGAATATTTTTCAAAATCGTTCAGCCCTATATAAACACATTTAAAACAACTGTCATTGACCAAAGTAAATCAGCCACTAGGTAGCACAAGCCAGTGTATCTCTTGTGCCATTCCCGAGCCTGGGTAAATGGTGAGGGTTGTGTCAGGAAGGGCATCCGATGGAAAACACTTTTGCCCAAAGTAATGCGAGTTCATCTAAACAACACCATATCAGACTGTCGAGACCCGGGTTAACAACGACCGCCACCAGTGCTGTTGACAAACAGGGTGTCGGTGGAAATTGTGCTACTGTTAGTCAAAGACTACGAGGAGGGAAACGTGTCAGGAGACAAAGGGAGAAGAGGAAAGTGAAGAATGTAGGACTGAGGGTTGCAACTCTAAATGTGGAGACAATGACAGGCAAAGGTAGAGAGGTGGCTGACATGATGCAGAGAAGGAAGGTAGATGTTTTATGTGTCTGATGCTAAACATCGTCAGTGGTTATGCTCCACAGGTTTGATGTGATGTGGAGGAGAAAGATACATTTTGGAAGGCTCTGGATGAAGTGATAGAGAGTATTTCCAGGGAAGAGAGAGTGGTGATCAGAGCAGACCTGAATGGACATGTTGGGGAAAGAAACGGAGGTGATGAGGAAGTGATGGGTAGGTTTGGTGTCAAGGAAAGAAACCAGGAAGGACAGATGGTGGTGGATTATGCCAAAAGAATGGAAATGGCTATAGTCAACACTTAGTTCCAAAAGAGGGAGGAACATAAAGAGTGACATATAAGAGTGGAGGAAGGAGTACGCAGGTCGACTACATTCTGTGTAGAAGAGGAAACCTGAGGGAGATTGGAGACTGTAAGGTTGTGGCAGGGAAGAGCATGGCCAGACAGCATTGAATGGTTGTGTGTAGAATGACTGTTGTTGTGAAGAAGAGAAAAAAGTAAAATCAGAGAAGAATCAGAGAAGACCAAATGGTGGAAAATGAGGAAGGAAGAATGTTGTGAGAAATTCAGAGAGGAGCTGTTAAAGGCTCTGGGTGGTAAGAAAGAGTTTCCAAAGTTTCCATGATTGGATACTACAGGAACAGTAATTAGAGAGACAGGTAATAAGGTATTTGGTGTGTCATCTGGACAGAGAATGGATGAAGAGAGGAGACAGGAATATGAGGAGATACAACATAGAGCAAAGAGGGAAGTAGCTAAGGCAAAACAGAAGGTGTATGATGAGTTGTATGGGAAACTGGACACTAAAGAGAGTAAGAAGAACTTGTACTGACTGATGAGACAGAAGTAAATGTCTTCATCTGTAGGATCTGTGAGGGTCGCACCTGTTGACATTTTAGCTGTATGTCTTGGGCAGATCAATGTTTAAAAACAGATTTAAATTTTTGTTTTAACAAAGGTTTTAATTGAAATATATTGTAATGAAACTGTTTTTACTAACTGATAAAAAAAGAAAACATAGGTTGAGTTTTAATATTTAGCCTCAATTTACTTTTTTTTTCTTGTACATTAATTCTGACATTGCCTTTATACTGTAATTGATGCTCTGGTGTGCATTTCCATCCCACTAAACATTAGTCAGTCAACAACAGACAGCACGACTTTAAAGCCAAACCATAAGTAATGATTCCCTTCAGTAATGTGGCAAACCCTCTATCAGGCACACAAAGGTCTGGGCTAAATATCTGCAGCAAAACACGTTATTACTACAGGGAGCAGCGTAGTGAGGGTTCAACGGGGACAACAAACACACAACTGTCCAAACCCTCAGCAAGCTTAAAGTCAACAGACACAAATACTGTTGCCAAATAAAAGGCCACACTCACCATAACACATTATTATTTATCTGAAGCCCTTGTGATCTAAAACGATCTATATTTGTGTCATTTATCATCATTTAGAACATTTGAAAACATTTTTTTGTTAGAAATATTTATTTAATGTTTATCGTGTTCATCATTTCTTTAAGATACTTTCAAGGATCAGATGCTTCTGTTGGTTCCAGGAACCTGTCTTAAGCTCAGAGGTGACAGGACCTTCTCCAGTGTTTCCCCTACCATTCTACCATTATACAAGCGGGGTGCCCCACCCCATCAACAGAACTGAGCACCCTGCCTACCAAACTGACCCCCCACCCCCACCCGGCATTGACATAGCGCTAAGCTAGCGGCGTGCAATACAGGCGCTCTAGCTAAAAAGCAGTGCTCATGTTGCCCCTTCTCTCACACTGAACCCCCCCCCCCCCCCCAACACACACACACACACACAAAAATTGTCTGTACAAACAGTGCACAGCTCAAACATGTCGCGCTAAGCTAGCGGTGCGCAATACATACAAATCTTGGGAGTTTTTATTGATAGTGAGTGAGTTGTTACTCTGTTGTTGACATAAAACTACTTAAAAAAATCCATTTGTTTCAAACGATAATTCATTAAATGATCAACGGTTTTGTTTTCATACATAATAAATCAAAACCTCTTTGCAAGGCTTCAAGATCAGTTATGATACTGTGGCTTTTTACAAACCAAATGATCAAGAATAACATTAAAACAAACTTAAATGAATTAAGAGATAGATAGATAGCGAGACAGAGAGAGAGAGAGGTTACATTCCAGAGACGCATGTGATGGGTGAAAATCTGCAAAGTAGTGATGTTATATTTATTTTATTATTTATACATACATTACAGATTGATAAACTCTTCCTCTACAAACTCTTCTTCTCCTACAAATCTTTCCCACTCTTATTAACCTTTCCCTGCAATGACTTTAGCGGAGGACCCGAAAATTCTACCAGACACAGAGTACGTTCAATACGCTTTATTTTGAAAAGACTGGTTGAAGTTTGGCCTGTCTAATGTCTGTCAAGTGTTCGACAGGGCCAAGGTGAAACAGGAAAATCCAGGGCACAGAAACTTGGTCAGGATGATGGGATCATGAGATAATTGCTGTATCACCAGATAGAGAACAGAGAACGTACATTACATGTTACGACCACCAGGTGAGAATTATGCTGATTACAGTGGAGAAGGTGGGCGTGGTGAACAGAATCCTGACATTCCCACTCTCTTATAAACACTTCATATGCTTTTAAACACTTTGGCGATGGCGATAAAGATGATGACAATGAGATGAATGTACAGTACTGCACAGCACGCACGGTTTAAAAAACCCGCGATACAGTAAAGCCGCAAAAAAATTAACCTTGATATAGCGAGGGATGACTGTAAAGGTATATAAATAAAATATAAAGTAGCCATCTTGGATTTTGATGTGACACCCCAATTTTTGTTAATGGCCTTCCTTACGCCTGGATGCAGCCACACACCAAAATGGAAGTCATTTATTTTTCAAGTTATCATGTTCACAACACCGACGCATGGATGGTACTTCCAATTCTCCCTTTTTGCTCAGTGACATGAGACAATTATCTTAAGAGAAAAATAAAAGAAAGAAGACCTTTAGACAAAGACAACTTTAACCTCATAATGTCTCAAATTTTGTCGTAACTGATAAAACTGGTTATAGATTGTTGTAGCAGTGAGAAATAAAGACCTGGAAAAAACAGTGTTTCAAATGTGTAGCTGCCATTAATTCAAGTTGTTTTTTTTTATTGTACCATTTCTAAGTTTGAAAGAGTGTCCTGCTTTCATACTGAAAGCTGCCGTACAAATAAAATGTAAAATTTGCATACACACAAAAACATTCTGCGTTATCAAATATTGCACACGTTTCTGTGTACTGGTACTTTTCCTTCTTACATCCAAATTTACATGGAACATAGCGCAGCTGTTGAACCGCCCTTTCCTCTGCCAAAAATAAAAAATGCAAATAAGTAGAAATAAACAGCAGGTTTCCAC